AATCTTTAATGAAGTATCTCCTTTGATGTTTAGTTTTAGCAGATATCACCCTTCTACAGAACCTAAAGAAAGACCAAACCCCCCCCCTGTAGACATGCACTGTATGTTAAAGAGTGTATTCCTCTCCAACATGGCTCCTTCCCATGATGGATGCAGACAAGGGACAGTAACTTGAGATGTGCTGCAGAAGGTTAGTCAGCAGTGCAAAGCAAGTATTGATGTGAATGAAGATGAAACCTTGCAACTGTTTTTTATTTTATCGGTGTTCTAGGAGTTTTTATCATGGCAAACCTTGAGATTCTGAAATAACACAATGATCCATAAAGTCCCAGGTCACACAGTTCGCTCTTGCCCAAAATAACATTTTGAATGGAGGCACATCGTTTGTTTTGAGCATCCTTTTCATTCGAAGTAGATGGGGCAACATTTTTCATTTTCTATAAACGCTGATTATTTTCTTTGTGAGGCTCAGAATAATAGGCTATCTGTCCAACCAATTTGCTTAAAGGACACAACAGACGAGATGCTACTTTCTTGGAAGCGAGTTCATTTTGACATTGGGGGTCACTCACTTCTCAATTATAGAAAATTGGGATATACATAGTCAGCGCAGTCGTTCGTACTGTTGCTTTTTATCTTCAGGTGGTTCTGAGTTCAAACCCACTCGCAAGCAGTCAGTGTGGGTTTTATCCAGATTATTCACACAGTGCAAAGAACTCAGGTTCATTGCTGACTCTGAAAGTGTGAATGGCCCTGTGATTGCCTGGCAGTTCAGAGTGTATTCTGCCTCTCGGGGGCGAACTTTGGCAATTACACATGATAGATGAATGGATTTGAACAATGTCCTTAATTTATCAAACAGTTAATAAATTATTTAAGAAGATAATAAGCTGATTAATCAAGCATGAAAGTAATCATTATTAGTAACTCTTGCCATGCATATTCAATAATATAATACAAAATCTTCTGTCGGATTTAATTCCATACCTCCTTCTATATCTCCAGTTTAGTCATTGTTCTTTTTTATTTTTGCATTTTTGAGCTCATTCAAATTGTCTCACGTAACACGGTTATTTCTACATTTTATTACTGAACTGAAATTGTTGTTAAATTGGATCAGAAAACATATAATATTGTAGCACTGGACCATCTGTCTGCAAGTCCCTAGAATAATTTAAATGATCTCCTAATATGGCTTTAGTGAGGTGCTTGGAAACATTGGTAGAAAACCATTACAAACCATCCTCATTTGCTTAAAAAAGACACAGTTGCTCATAAGAAGTAAACTAAATGTTGCTGCTGCATGCTATGGATAGCCAACTAGTTTAAATCATTTAAATGCCCTTTATGAAATGTCTAAAATGGGAAATTGGTTTAACAATAGGATGTGTTTTATACATTGATATCATTCAAAGTACTCTAAGCTACTGCAGGTTAATCATTGTTTCTCCACAGTTAATAGAACATCTCTGTGTTCTACTATCTTTACTTAAAGCTCGACGGTTGGGATTCAGCTTGAGCGAATCGAAGAAGTGAGAGATTATTGCTGGGTTGCAGGTGGCGTCCTTCATGTCTTCAGTGAGCAATGGACAACTGTGGAGGCATGTGTTTGTGTCTGGTATCCGTGATGACTCATGACTGCAGGGATTCAGAGCAACACAGTGACTCAAGTCAGTTTGCTTCATTCAAATGTTAAACCTCGATATTTGCTGAATCCACGCCAACAAAAGGCAGAGCTCCTGCAGAGCTTTCATCTTTGCCTCCAGCCCCGAAACACAGAAGACATTAATTATAGGAGGTGCTGCATGATATGGCTGTTGGCAGTTTGCTCTGCTCTGTTTACTTTCATGTATGTTGCATATTTTAGGATGCACAAAGGAAAAACACTCAACATCTTCTGTCATTATGGCTGTAGCACTTTCAACATGAGGATTTGAGGACTAACACCAGTAAGTACTTATGCTGATGTTTCAGCCCTGCTTATTTCTGTCCGATGCAACTGGGATTGGAGGGGTGAATCTCATGCCTTGATAATGTGCACAATGTTTCTTTTATTACCAATTTGTCTCACTTTGTCTGACTATTCACATTCGTTGTGCTCTTAATGAACAGGATCATGTTTTATGGTTCAACAGCGTAACCTATAGTATGATGTACACACATCTGATCTAAGATTGGATTCAACTCGGCAAATAATTCCGTTCAATTTCTGTGCGTTTTTCATATTTACCTCACATGTAATTGGAACCTGTAATCATGAGTTTCCAGTCACCCGCATATTCTGTACAATCCAAAACCACGTTGTTTCTTCGATACTGATGGAAAGCTTTAAAATAATGGAGCATGCCCAATGATTATAAATGCTTTACATCAATTAAATATAGAACACTAAGAGATAGCAGTTAATCCATACAGATGTGGATTGTAATAAATAATTCATCGTTTATCTATTAGTGTGAATTAAGGGCTAGCAAAAAAACTATAGATATTTGCTACCCCAATAATGTTTTTAAATATGCCTTTAACATCTGACAACTATAGATGATACAAATAAAGTAACGAAAGTTCGATTTATAGGTTAGTCTTCCACGTTTTTGGGAGGGTGGTGAAAACAAATTGCCTCCACCTTGCCCCTGTTGCCGATCTACACTCTACTGAATACACCTTTTTGTTGTTGCGTGTTCACACTACAGCAATCTCAACTACACATGTTACCAGAAAACTGACTTTATGCACTTAGCTTGTACTGAGTTTCAATTTCAAATAACAGAGTCCTATAATACAGCCTCACTTCATGCAGGTTATAATGTTCAATTGTCGTTGTAACTGTTCTAAAGAAGTGACGATTCAACTTGATTGACATTTTGGAAGTAGTGTGTGGTGTTGTTGAATTGTATTGCTTAACACTGAGAGTTGTTCCTCTGTATAATGCAGTACAGTGTGTCTATTTGATCACATGTAGAGAAATAAACTATGAGGTTATGACCTGCTCAGATCCTCGGGTAGTATTTTTGCTGCACCCTTCAGACAAAGCAGTAAAATGATTTTGGGGTTACATTGTACATCTGAAGCTACAAAGTGAATTGTGGCCTCTGGGGCAGCAGATACAAAAAGCAGTAGCACCTGAATTATACATCTGCACAGTGTTGTTCTCAGTCCCTTTCAGTGCTGGAAAATCACCTGAAAATAAATCTGTTGCCATGCCTTGCTGTGTGCGATTAAAAGCTTTGATACTACACAAATAGGATAATTCCATGCCCATAAAATCATGTAAGTACTTTAAGAATGTAATTCTCCAATCACTGGTTGTTGATTAAAGCTTTACACAGATAAACATAATTCGTTCCTCATTATTAAGTGTGTTGTTAAAAATACTGCTGACATTGTAGGTTATTTTAAAACAACAGATCATATTTTAAGATGTATCCTATCATATGCTTGCAACTTATTACTTGAAGAGTAATGCATGGTCTATACAATGAAGAATTCAAGTGGCTAACAAGCAGCAGAAGTGGGGACATTAAATAATGGTGCTTACAAAATGAACAATGGGGAGGATCGTCATGGTTCTTGCAAAAGGCTCTGACTGAAATGATTGTTCCTCTTGCAGATGTTTACTGTGCCTCTGAGGAGAGGAAGAACAGAGCCTACAGCAATTTAAAGCAAGAGCATCCACCATGACAACTGATCACGTGTTCTCCTTAAATCTAAAACGTGTAGATTGATTTTGCAGGTGACTATTAAATCTCTGGTCATTTTGTTATCCTTGATTGTTAATCTGTTGTAACAATTTAGTTTGTGTCCTATAATAATGAGTTTGCATTGTCCAGTGGATCAGAAAGCAACATTTACAATATCAAAGTACCACATTATCTTCAAAACAAGTTGACAGTGAAGACTATTTCAGAAAATGCAGTTGATATGTATCTAATAAACTCTTGAACTGGGATGGGAACATTTCCTGTATCTTACATCAATATAGGCTGCTATTTAAAAGTAATGTAATGTGTACTAAACCGACTTCTAGTTCTGTGTTAGATATTTAAGGGTATTTCTATGTGTTTATTTATGGGACTATGCTTTCTTTTTTATACAATAAAAGTTGTAAAAGCCAAAACACAATTGAAACATGTAAACATTCCAGCAGTAAGTGACAGTGTGTGGGAGTTTTCTGCTTTCTTTTCAAAGATAAATGAACATGACATATCATCCCTCTCTTGGAGATTTAAAAGCATAGACATTCTTCTAAGCACTATCACACTGGCACTTTGTTTACTGGCAGTATCTTCCACCTGACATTGTTTAAAATGATGCGTATATTATGTGTCTGTAAGCAGCACGCAATTTATGTGGACTTGACTTAAGGGCAGCGTTAGTTAAAAAGTCCATGCCAATGAAAGACAGGTGCAAGCCTTCAAGACAATCCACTCTCACTCTCAAAAGCAGAAGACAGCCAGCTTCTAGAGAGTATTTGTTGTGTGTGTTGTGAGATTCTCCACCGAACATATAGGAATGTATTGCCTGGAAACTTTACGGGTGCAAGCTTTAAATCTGTCAGCCGTGACTACTTGAGATGCAGCGTTGCTCTGCACACTGGGATGAGACGGGCCTGGAGAGTGTACTGATTTTACCGACCTGAAAGCTTGTTTCTAATGGCCTGATTGGATTTACTATTGATTATGTTTTGAGCGTATGTGGCGGCATAGTTTTGTGATTGCTATTGTCGACCACTGCAAATTGAAGTAGCCAACAGACGAGTAATAGGAACATTAATTTCTCTGGGAGAAACTTAGAGATTCCCATTCACTTATCTAAACCCATTAGATTTAACCTAAATTAGAGGAGCGTGATTATTTTCTCCCTGATGACAAATACATCCACCCAGCATACCATCTACACACACATGATGTATTCACAGCAGACCCGATCGATATACTTGGTCATTGATTGAGTGCTTTCCATTGACCGAGTGCCTTCTCTGCTATTAAGTGTAGACTCACTTGTGCATTTCTTGATGCCAGATCCTTTCTTCACGGCGTGCCGGCTGAGCTTGCATTGGAAGTTATTTTCCCAGAACTCTGCAAACCAGATGTTCCTTCTATTATTCTCTAATGTTCGGCTGATGAAGTAGCGATCGAAACCTGAAAGAAATGAGAGGCTGTTAGAATTTAATTCATCACGTTTTACATCTGAATATGCTAAGCGAAATGTAAACTGTTTTGGGCCTGGGTCCTGGTGGATATCTTTGGTGATGATTTCAAATGAGCCAAGTATTTACTCAAAGCCCAGTGAGAACAGAAGCTCTGCAATCAAAAAATATTAGCAATGCAAATTCAGTTTGGTTTGCTGTTAGCTTAACAGTGGAACTGTTCAAATGAAGTCATGTCTTTGAAAGACATCCAAAGATACATTATCATTTGACTGCGCTTGACTTTTCTTTGACATTGTAAACATGTTTTCTTCTAAATGTTCTGCAGAATTTTCCAAGGGCCTTAAGAGAGTATGTAAACTTTTAATGGCATGAAACAAAAAATACAATCTGCTATGGATAGGTTGTTTTCAAATAACTTCATTATATCATATTCTGTTACACTTTACCAACTCTTTACCAACATTATTTGGAATCAGTAGCTCTAATAGTAGCGTAAGGAGAATATTCACTGATACGGTACAATATTAATTCAATGTATGTGAACATTTAGGAAGTAGCGATTGGGATCTACATTTAGCGAGTTTGGTTGTAAGTGGTAGAAAACAATAAAATACATCAATACATAAATAATCTCTCAATACAAATGATGTATGTAAAGAAATGTGTTCATTGGAAACCAACATACACTACAATAAGCAGACAAGAGGCAGAAGCATGGCAGAAGTATTGTTAGCGTTTGAGTAATGGATACCTTTTATGGACTGCCGTTTGGGGAGGATAGTGACGGCTCCTTCTGCCATCTCTTCCTGGTTCAATATGGGGGAGATTTTGGAGCCCCAGCTGTCTGAACCTACCCAGATGAAATGGCCGGTTTGATTCGCCTTTTTCGCTGCTTGGAGGAGCCGCCTTTGAGAGACACATGAGAACAGTAACGTTTAATAGTCACATTTAATGTTGAGTTTAAAAGGCTTTCGTGCATTTCAGTATTAAAAAGAAGATGCAATGTCAAAAGGCTCTTTAAATGCATCATTATGAATAAGTGCGGTGTCATATAGGTTATCCCATAACTAGAGTTTTCTATTCTGAGTCTTGCCAAAGTTGCATTGAGGCACAAGTAGAATTGTAAAGCCACTACAGACACACTTTGCATTCCCAGTGCGAAGTATTTCTTCCTTACTGTGGCAGAATGACACCCCTGCCACATTTGTCCAGGCTTGTTGCCAATGGAAATAAGTTTGGGGAGCTGTAAAAAAAAACTGCAGGCGAGCTCGACTGTAGCAGCGGAGCGACAATATATCAGGAAAGCTTGAGCACAGCAACATAAAATTTAAACACAGCCACCTAGACGGGAAAGCATTACCACCCCTCGTATTTTCCCAAAGATGCTGGAACCAAGAAAAAATCACGTTAAGCATCTTACTGTATTTTAAACATCTTTTTGAACATTGAACATGCAGTCTTAACATCCCTCAGTGTTGCAGTTGTATTAGGAAGGATGCCTTACCGAATATAAAAGATATGCCTGCTACATATTTCTAGTAATAATCCTATGTGGATGCACAAAGAGTAATCTAATTAACTTTATGTCTTATAACCTTAGTTTTATCACCACAGGGACATTTGTTTGATTGGTAATGATTTTTCTCTGAGTCTTGGCTCCAGAAATCTAGTGAAATGAGCATGTCTTGAGATGTAATTATGTTCTCCATGTAGGAAAAAAGAGAAACATAGATTTTCTTACTGTCAGGAGATTACATAACAGAGACATGACTCGACGGGCTGATAAGTGAACAGTGAAGGTGCTGTCTGAGGTTGTGGATGGGCATGTTTCCGTCAACTTCAACAGCTCATATTCACTTTCCAACTCACAATAAAGATAAACCCGAGACCTACTGTATTTCCTCATGTTTTTGTATCTTAGCGACTAAAAGGGACAACAGTTATCTGAAATTGGTGCGAGAATGCAAAAGATGGCAGCAGCTAAACAGACTGCAATGTAATCACTCCATGCAATTCCTCACGGCAACTTATGTCTGCTATAAGTGCTTATTTGTTGCCGCTGACAGGCTCAGATTGTCCAAATAAGTGTCCGACAACATTATGGAAAGGACTCAATATATATAACGTTTGTCTTTACCTTAAGCTTGATCCAGTGGTCTGTTTGTTATGACTTGTTGCCGAGTATGAGTTTAAGTTGGATTAAAAAAAAATACCCTAAAAGTTCTTAAATGTGAGTACAATTGTGCTTATGTGAATGAGACATACATTATGTTTTATCATGAAGTAATCAGGGTTTTTAATGTTTACGTGATTGAAGTGCACAGTACAAGATTATTTAATTAAATGTACTCCTATTTAATTATATGAAGCCGTGTTGTTTTCTCAATAACAACCAAGGACAAACCAATCTACCAGAGATTATAAAAACAAAGCACTCATTTTCCTTTGTTTAAGAGGCTGAGATGAGGAGGTATATTTCTATTTAGTTCAACACTATAGGGCTCCCTCCAAACAGCTCATACTTTCTGTGTAGACAGTTTTGGATTCTTAATAAGCTGCTGCCAGCTCTCACTGACTGGGTTCAAGGATAAAGCAGGCATGCAGCCCTGAAATCCCCCTGGCTTTCTGTAATTACTATATATCCACACTATTACCCCTTATCAGGACTGGATTAAGGCAATGAGCACTGGGGCTTCTGCCCTGGACATCATCAAGAGACCGCCCCAAATCACTGCCCACTTCCACCAGGAATACACTGGCCTACTAACTGGTTGCCAGGAAACATTTCCCGTGCAAAGCCACAACAGAGCTGTGTGTGTTGATTCAGCCTACAGCTAATTAACTAGTTCTTAATGCAGTCTTAATATTAGAGAATTCATTTTAATTGATACATTTGTGTCCCCACAAGGAATGCTGAGTCACTGTTAATGTACGTTCATAATAGTATGGTCAGAATAGATAGGGACACCAGACTAAATGTCAGAGCTTTCAGTTGGAAAGAACAAGAGAGTGGACTGATGATATCAGATGACCTCAAACATGACCTTGGAGTGCAGTTAACCCCTCACTTATAAAGTCTCAGTAGAATCACCGTTTGATAAATGTGTTTTATGTTAACTTAACCTGCTCTGTCAAATAAATGGCTTAATAATGCACTGTTTCCATCCAAAGGTACACTTTTTAAGGTAGCATGAAATGGAAAATCCTCAAGTAAAGAAGTCCTCAGAAATGTACAGTTTCTCTACTGTGATCTTATTTCACAGGGCTACAATTTGTCTACTATCTACCTGTTACAACATCCTAGGAGACAACACTTTAGAAAATGTAATTACAGCCAAATATAATAATATTTGCCATTTTAACTCAAGTAGCAGCAGAGATTAAATAGACTTTTCACAAGGAAAATGCTATTTAATTCCTTTATGCACACAAGAGACATTTGTGACATTCTAATGCTGGCTGCAAATTCAGCCTCTGGTAAAAACATTTCTTAACATTTATCACAAGAGACATTAGCCGATTTTTGAAAACTCTTAAACAGCTCTCCCCTAATGTTTCCTCACAACTTATCGAACAAAAAGTGTGATGTAAATGTTATAAAGGGAGTATCTAGCAGTGGTTTAGATAGTTAAAAGTTATATAACTGAAAGCAGGGAAGATACTCACCGGATGTCGTCCTCGTTGGCAAAGATAATGACCACTCTGGCGTTAGGGTTCTCACTCAGCCGGCGAATGATCTTGTCAAACTCTCCAGGTCTCGGTTCTCGGGGTATTTTCACAGACTGAGAAATGCACAGACCACCTAATTGGGAGACAAAAGAAGATTCAAGATAAAAAACAACGACCTTATCTTCTTTAAATCATCTGAACGGATCTCATTAGCTGACATATTATCAAATGCATATTAATGCTGCAGATTCCTGTGTGTCTTTCGTCAAACTCTGGATCACTAAGAAATATACGTTGGATTTTTCTTCTTCTTTCTTTTAACCCGCACAAATCTTTTCCAGTTCTCTGGACTTTTTTATGATATCTACACAGGTGCAATATTTCAGAGCAAGAGAAATGCAAGGTATTAAAAGAAATCTTTCCCTGGACCACAAGGGGCAACTTTGAGACGTGAAGACCCATCAATTCTGTTTATGGTCCTGCCAGGCAGACCAGGGGAATTTGGTAGCATTTGAAAGTACATAAATTGTGTAATTGAAAACTGGTTCCATTTGTTCAGAGTCATTTTTCTTATTACACGGGTTATTTCATTTAGGTCAAAGTAAAAACCATGGTCTGCCTGAAGACTGAGCTATTTTTACGAGAGAAACAGAGAAGAAACTGTTCTGTCTGCTGCCGTCTGGCAGGCGCTACCACAGCATCCGGACTAAAACCACCAGACTCTGGGACAGTTTCATCCCACAGGCCATAAGACTGTTAAACACCTGAACTGTTGAAACAACATCCACAATATTCATCTGGCTGCTACTTAAAAAATATTTATGTATTTACCTAATATATCATATTTCAATGACTTGCATAGACTCTTATTGCACTATTTCACTATTTCACTTTCTTAAACTATTTTTCTTCTTGTATTTACTATTTACTTGCACAATATTTTTCTGTTTATCTGTGTTTTGTGTTGCACTGTTGAAGCCTGTTTTCATCGACATAACTACACTGTAGCTATGTTCGTTTGACAAATAAAGAACCTTGAACCTTGAGAAACATGAAACAAATTACTTACATTTCTAATTAAATTGCGCAAACACATAACTTACAGTATTTTCCACATTGCTTAGTTTAGTTAAGCTTGTTAGGCAGCAGCCAGAACAATATCTACAGTAATTCCCCACAGATTAGTTTAAACAGAGCCCTCAGCCTTTTAGAAATGGTATTGAACGAGAAGTTAAAAGCAGCAGAGGACGTCCCCTGGTTACCAACAAGCAAAGGCTTTTTAATTCCCAATGCAACATTTCAGGATAACTGTTTTGTCGCCCTGCCAAAATGCCACAGAGAGAATGCGCATGCTAATGAATTTCCCTTTCGTGACCCGGTACAAAGCCAGCCCAATGAACAATCAATGCAGAATAATACCCATAGTTCAGTCCATGGCAGCCACACTCACACCATCAACAATGCCTGCCCCAGCACAGATACTAATGGGTTAAGAAACTGGAAATATGAGTAAAGAGTACTAGAGGATGCCATTAAATGAACAATGGTGTAGGGCTCATGGGTGCAAGAAGTCACTTCCTGTTAAGTCAGCGAAGGCTTCAGTCAGTAGCATACAACATTGTTCTGATTGTGGAGGAATTTAATGATGTTTTCTTTCTCTTCAAACCCGTGCTTTCGCTATTTCACTGTGGCTGTATTTTATTTCCTTCAGAATAGACGCGTGTGTAGGTTTCCTGAAGTGATGCATGTCACAGTTTTGCCTGATACATTCAGTCGGCTGGTTAATGGATCAGCAGTTCCTTCACTGGAGGAAAAGTCTCATTCCTTTGTGTGTGCTGGTCCATGTCTTGCTGTTGGGGCTGTTTCCTGCTGCAATCAGGCAATACTCTTTCCATTCCAGCAGCATCCAACCTTTTATTTACTTGTTTTTCCCGTCCCTTAAACCCAACTTTAATATCCTAGTTAACTCAGAACTATTGCAACATGTCATACTTAAGAAATGGTACATGTTTTTTAAGTTTGACCTGAGGGTGATATATTAAGCTGGAGATAAGTAAGTTTAATGGAAGAGCATAACACTTTATATAGGTGTCTTGATTATGAACATTCAACTTTGTATGATACATGTATTTACTCTTTTAATTGACATTGGAGGCATCATTTCGATATGATACAACAAAACACAATATACTTTAATGTTCCCGTAAGAATATGTGTTCTGGGCTCCGTCCTGCAGTTCAACAGAAGATGAAAATCCTACATACTACATATACACCATAAAAAACAATAACATCTTAACACATGAATTATTTACATAAAGTATGCACCTACTGACAATGGTGACCTACTGCGCAACGCACTCACTTTTATCACAAGTTCATGATGTTCTCATGTTCTCCTTATTGTATTGCACTTACTAAAGTATGTTTTAACATCTGGTGAATTTTTTTAAAACTAAACAACAGGTTAAAGTATACAAGTAAAGCATTTCTTAGTGTGTCCTTTTCTACAAACCACATGCTTCAGATTGTTGAGGCTTTATTTAAACTGAAGCAGAGGTTTATTTGTCTGCCTCTCTGTGTCATTACACCTACACTACCCAGAGAGGCACATGGGAAATTTAGCAGCAGCAGCTCTCTGCTCTCGGAGACTCTATCAATCATTAGATTCTATGTCTTTGCCTCGCTGATACTTCAGTCCCACATTCCCCCAACATCTGCTGTGTAGAAGCAGAGCACTCATCCCTTGCTTTCCTTCTCTTCTCACATCACCAGCAGCAGAGGGAAGAGCAGGAGGAGGAGCGGGGGGGATAAGAGCCCAGCCTGGGGGAGTTGATGCACACTGAACAAGACCCTCCACGGGCCCAGTGTTGTTACTCTGTTAGTTGTATGGTACACCACAATTTGTTTTATTGCTAACACTAGCCATTCATCCATGCACCTGTCCATCCTTTGCTCTCTAAGTAGAGGATGGGCAAAGACACGGTCCTTGAATCGAGGACCCCGATTCAAACTCCGTGACAGGAAGCAGCTACGAAACAAGACTCTCATCCCTACCTGCAGCAAATATGAATTTCTCTTTTTCTATTTGAAGCATACTCTTAAATTCCCCCCCATTTATGTCACAATGTCACACCTTTATTCTTGTCAATAAACAAACATGCATACATATACATACAGTTCACACACACACACACACACACACACACACACACACACACACACACACACACACACACACACACACACACACACAGTACACACACACATACCTAAAATACATAATAGTATTTGATCTGTGCTTTTTCAAATATCTTCCACACGTTGAGTTAGCTATGCAGACGTTCTTTATACAACCTAAGTGGCTTTCAATTTGTCTTAGTAATTATAGGTTATGCCCATTACATATTTTATAATTATTTGAACAAGTCTCTTAAAGATGTAACATATTTTCAATAAAACACTTCCAATTTGCCATTAGACAGGATGTAATTAGGCAGAATCCTCTTCATGTCTGCACACCACTCCTCATCAGACCATTTCTCACCTAATACTTCTTAGTAGCCTATAGAAAGTCAATTATAAAGCAATTAATTACACATTTGAAGGACCTGTAAGCAGCCCTTGTGTGTTTTTGATGTTGATTAATTATAGTTATTTATCAAAATTACCTGAAAATCATGCAGATTAACAATCAGTGGTGTGTGTAAAACTATTCTGAGTACCTGGGTAGTGATTTAGGTCTCACAAAGCAAACAATTAATACACACATTAATTTATCGCCACGTTAAGCCAGTGCCAAACCCACAATACATTATGTGTACATAATTGAAGGGCAAAGTCATATCTACTGATACAGGGAGTCGTCCTTTTTGCCGCAGATACTGCTGAAAACTTCATGAGCTGTGTTTCTGTCCACAACACTCATCCTATACCACTGTTAACATCTGAGCCACGTCTAAAAAACCACCTCTAAAAATATCCGTTGCTGAGGAGACTGCGAGCCTCCTCTCTGGTGTTTTTCATTGTCAGTCGCAGTCTCTGCTCTCCTAATAGCTCAGAACACTAATATTCCTTCTCATTGGACCCCCGTGGGACGGACGAGGCTGCCATAAACATTAAAAATTCCCTGGCTCTGTGGCCAATGCAGCACATTGTGCTTGCTGAAACGTAGTGCAAAAGCAAAACAAAATACACCCAGGTGGGCATTTTGGGGAAGGTGAAGGTATATAAATAGCATTTTTATTGGGATGCCGTGAGTGGCAGTGCTTGCACAAACAATCAAACTTCGCAGCTGGAGAACATCACAACAGAAATACATAGATCTTAAATTACACTGGTGTTGCTGCTACAGTAATTTTGTTCAATGTTGATCACTGCAGCCTTGAGAATGAGTCCATTTCAATAATATACAAATATCAGCATCAACTGCTTCTTACTCTGGCAACAAATTATTTTTTAAACTAAGTCAATGAAAAGGCAACAGGCTTATTGACATGAAGCAACAAACTGAAGCCCAACACTTGAGTGCTACAAATGAAAGTTGTGCTTTTTTCAGTGCTTCAATGACGCGTTGGAACGTTTACAAATCTCACCCTGTCAGCCTGTTTTATTCAGTCTAAGAAATGCCATAAGCCATGTTTTAGCCGTTAGCCAGTTCTAATTTCTATTTAACAACATAACAACGTCAATGAGTGCTTAAGCAACAACAACTTGGTGAAAGTATAGCTAGCCCCACTTGGCCGTTGTGTTGCTTTTGCCTGTGCAGCATCTAAGCACAGCATTAAGGTAGCAGTGACAAACAATTCATAATGAATAAGCCTGTTTAAGTTTCACAAGCAGCTTTGAATTAAGATCTGCTTTTGACTGCGGTGTTGTTATTTCAATTAATTGATCGTCCAGTATGTAATGTCTGGCTGCTGACCAGCAGTCTAATGTACAGAACTGCCTTTACTGTGGTGATCACAGTTGTTTGCATTACACAAATACACTCAGATAAGATCAAAGTAATGAAAATGTTAGATAGCACTACGCAGATGAATAATATCCCCCCTCTGATTTATTAAACTGTGTACCAATTGATTTATGCAAATCACTGATCAGAGGCCTGTGATAAACTGGCAACTCTTCCAAT